CTGGCCTCGAACTTGTGATCCTCCTCCCTTACAGGTGTGCACGGTCACACCCAGCAGTCACTTGAATTTTAAGATCCAAAACTGAAGAGTCAACTTGCAGAAATAGGTATTTGGTTTATTGTGTTCAAATCAGTGTTTTGATCAGAAATTCATATTCAGTAATAAGAATAAACAAAAATTAATCTGTGGGGTTTTTGTTTGGTTTGGTACTGGGGATCAAACCCAATGACACTTAACCACTGAGTCACATTTTCTAGCCCTTTTTATTTTTTATTTTGAGACAGTCTTGCTAAGTTGCTGAACTTGCCATCTTCCTGCCTCAGCCTCCCTCCCAGGAGGCTGGGATTACAGGCATGTGTCCCTGTGACAGGGCCACATTAGTTTTTAGCTCCTGCAGCACTAGCGGTTGGCTCTGCCCAGAACGCTCCAGTTCTGATCTGCAAGAATATGTAACAACTGGCATATTCTAGAAGCAGAGTCCTTTGAAAATTATTTAGCAAGATGAACAGCCTACTCTCCAAATAAAGAAAGACTGAGCGTTGGGCATGCACCTGTTTTCCCAGCTACTTGGGAGGCTGAGGCAGGAGGATCACTTGAACCTAGGTGTTCCAAGGCCAATCTAGGCAACATAGTGAGACCCTATCTTCAAATGTGAGCCCATGTGGTGGCACAGGCCTGTAATCCCTGCAGCTCTGGAGGCTGAGGCAGGAGGATCACAAGTTCAAAGACAGACTCAGCAATGGTGGAGGTGCTGAGCAATGCAGTGAGATCCTGTCTCTAAATGACATGCAAAATAGGGCTGGGGATGAGGCTCTGTGGTCAAGCACCCCTGGGTTCAATCTTAGGTACAAAAAAAAAAAAAATTCCAGGTAATTGGCTAATAACGACCAGGTGCTGAGAAAGAAAAACACCCATTTTGAGCCTTAAGGCGACCCCGGGGCAACCTGTTTCATATGTATTTTCATTAAAGACTGAAAAGGAATAAGCCCTCAGTCCTCAATTTTGTCCAGGAGCATAAATTTCTGAAGAGAAGCACTGCGTCTCCATCATCACAAACAACATGTTCAAATTTCTAACCGCCATTGGTATTTTTTCTGGCTGATAACTTGAAAACGCAATTCTCTGAGATCTCGGGAGTTACCAATACTAGACAGCAAATGCAAGCTGTCCCCAACACGGGGCACCCAGGGGGATAGATCCAGAATCCTGGGGGCTGCGGCTGGGGCTCGGTGGTAGAGCACTTGCCTGGCATGTGTGAGTCCTGGGTTCGATTCTCAGCACCGAATATAAATAAATAAACAACTGAAAACAAAAACAAAAAAATCTAAAATCCTGATTAAGGACCAGACAGAAATGACCGCTACCACCGCTCAACAGAGCTAAGGAAGCCCTGGCCATGGCTACGGTCACTAGTGCACACTTGAGATTAGGCTGAAAGGTCTAACGGGTCACCCTCTTCACACCTCTGATGAGTCCACGTGCTGAATGGTGACCACTCTGGTGCTGTGGACAGCTGGCCCCTCCTCAGCAGGTGGCTCCTCGGCCCCCTCTTCCTTTCAGCCGGGGGTCTTTGGCCTCCGGGAGGGGTGCAGTGAGCCTGTGAGGCTGACTCGGGGCCCTGGGCAGGCTCAGGGCTTGCTCAGGTCCCCACCTGGCACCCCACCTTGAGGCTCTGGAGGTGCCCCAGCATCCCCACAGGGTCGAGTGGTTCTCTGCGTTGGATGCG